CAATATGCAGCAGCTATGCCTGCTGCAGATACATTTCTAACTCCTTAATAAATTCAATGCCACGAAGAATAAAAGATGAGGTGAATTGGTCATTTTTATAAGGATGTGCATGGTCTGATGCTCTGTTTTCTGTCCTGTAGCTCCAGCCCTGCCATCAGTCAGTCACTGTCAGCCCTGTGGCTGAGAGTTCAATGTAAGACTAACCATGCTGCAGTGCAGCATTTGGGTGACCACCAGCTCTCCTCCTCCCCTCCAGGTCCTCCAGATTTGTCTTCTGGACAGGACTTCACAGGAACTTGGAAGCTCTTGAAAGGTTCTTACATCACAAAAAATATCACCAGAATAGGTATGATTTCAATCCATGAATGCTTTTGCCATTGATATAAACAAGCCTAAAAAGTCCCTTCTCAAAAACATTTTTAAATTATGAACCATAATGCTGTGTGCCAAAGGAAAAAACCCAACAGAATTATAAACCAAACTAACTACACTACTTCTTATTCTTGGGGGAGAAAGACAACCCGGTACCTTCTTCCTCCTTGACAAAACATCTCTGACAGTGACATTGCTGTCACCTTTTTTTTTTTGGAATTGCTTAGGCACCTTAAAATACTAATGAGAATTGGACTTCTCATTTGGCTGCAAGCATATGCAAAGCATTTTTGCAGGCCACCATGTCCTGCAGGCCACAAGGTGCAATTCTGACAACATCTGTGAGAATTGCCAGAGTTGTACCATCTCCTTGAAGCTGATAGAGAAGTGGCACATAGAGAAGCTTTGGCAAGTAATGGAGAATGGGTTCCCCTCTTCCCTGCCCAGGATATATGCCTTTTCCAGAGTAGTTGCCTGGAGGCAAAGCTGAACCTGGTCCTTCTCCATCCTGGCTCGGGTCACACAGTGGGTCATTCATGTGAGTGTCCTTGTGTGAGTGCCCTTGCACAGACCATGCTGGGGAGTGGAGTGGGCAGAAACCTTCCTGGAGAGTCTGGCCATAGCAGTTACTCTTTAGGGACTTGAATGCCCGGAGCATGACCTGCCTAATGGCTAAAAAGCTAATATCTGCTGTGTCTGATCCCCAGCTCCTGTCTCAAAGGGCTGAAATCCAATTCACCTCCAACCATCTGGAGCCCATTTCCAAATGAATAATTCCTTCAAGTCTCATTTAATCCATCGGCAAACAGCTTCACTCTTTGGTTTGCCATGACACAAATCCCCTCTGAGGGCCCCGAGCAGGTCAGCATGTGGGTGTACATGCCTGTGCTGAGTGTGTGTGTGATGGGGCAGCTGCTTGCTGTTGACCTGAGGCATCTTCCCCTGTCTTGGAAGAGGAATAGTATCAAGGCTCAACTACACTTGCTGTGAGCTGCCACTATGACAACCAACCTCTGACAAAGGAGGTGTGTGCCACAGCAGTTCAGGGGATGCACAAGGTGCACCTCTGATAAAAATGGGAGGTCACTGCCTCCAATTTTCTGCCCATCTGCAGAACTAGATGGGGGTTAATTCTCATCTGCAGCAAGGAAGATATGAAGAGGACGTTGAGCCAGAAATCCAGTCTCAATACCCTTCACAAAGTAGCTCTTTCATCTTCTGGAATATTATATTTAAAGAAGAAAGAGGAACTTGAAGAACAGTATTAGCGTAACATTACATATGATCCTTCAAATTTGCAAGTATTACTAAAGAATATTGGAGTGTCAACATGACCCATGGTATAACATCAGTGAACGGTGCAAAAGCAGAGAAACAATTTTTCTAAAGCACAGGTATCTCTCCACAATGGTAAAAAAAGGTTCAGTAGTCACTGCTACATTTCCTCATGAATGTGTTTTGTTTGTAAACATTACTGCAAAAATATTTGTGTGGTAACAGCATGTGTGTTGCACAGGTTACCAAGATTTTTGTTCAGCATAAAAATTCATATTTTGAATACCCTTTATCCTTAAAGGTTTCCAATACATTGAAAAAAGGAGTAGCAACAGCACAAACCAGCTGGTCTAGAAAAGCAAGCTCTGGTCCAGTCCATTACCCTACTCTTGGCCATGGAAACAGGTAAAGTTGTGCCTGTATTCATGTCACTAGCAAAGATGCTGACCATCTTAGTGTCATCAGATCTGGAGAGACTTTATGTCCCAGATCCACAAAAGTACTTGCTTCTCAGTGACTCCAGCAGGAGATAATCCATCTCAAAACCTTTCTCAATTTAGTTTTACTTCTCTCCCTTTCCCTCACATAAAAGCACTTGAAGCTAAAACATAAGGTTTCCATCAGGCTCAAGACAGGGACAAAATTCTGAGGACAGAAAATTCTAGTTATTAGATCTGTACATGATTTCTTTTTCTTCCCACATCAGTCTCTGCTTTATACATTTCACTTCTCCTCACTGTAACAGAGAAGAGTAGAGAAAGTAATTCTCCCAGTACATGGTGTCCTTCCTTCTCAGCCTCAGCAAGTACCATCAGATTGGCCTTCTGAAACTTCAAGGAGAAAAACCTGTCATTCAGCAGCAGCAGCCTCTGTGCTGCTCTGAGTGTGCCTCCCTTCAAAAGCCTCCTGCCAGCTTCACTTCAGTGAGCTGGCAGCTGCCCAGCTGCTGGGGAGGGGGATTTGGGAAATGTATTCCAGGGGACACCTCAAACTTTATCCTCTCGTGTATACTTCTATGACTGTCCTCCCTGCAATCCCCAGACCTCCATTTGTATTAGTACAGCCACTTTAAAAACATGGTTTGGAGATTTTGGGAGGGTTCTGGCTGTTGTAGTTTGACCTCTGCATGGAGGATGGGCAAGTGAGGGACATAGTCTAGAGTACACTGCTTGCACCTCATTGGTGAGGGGTGATGCTGCCCCATCCACCCTGGGCAAGTACACAGAGTTTAGCTGTGACTTCAGGAATTGTTTTTTACAATGGATCTGCTCCTGCAGTTATCTGCCAGCATTGATAGAGTACAGCTCTTCTGAACTGAATACAGTGCAACAGGGGCTGGCAGCCTCCACAAAACACAGCTGTGCCTGCTGATCTCCTCACTGGCCTTAGTGCCCGTGAGTCAGAGCAGAGGTGGAGAAGCAGCAGCAGCTCCACTGCGTGCTCCTCTCATATGGAACAGTCCTTCTTGCCTGCTCATCCATCCTACTCTCCCACTCCTGCCATGGTTTCTCCAGTCAAATTTCAGATGTGCCCATGGTTCTCTGTGATGATCTGTTTCTTTTTGCTAACTACTGAGTAATGTTTGCAGAATATAAACCAGTTGGGATATCTTGCCTGGGGACAGACATCAGCAATCCAGAGATTTAGAGAAAGCAAAGCTAAAGGATGCTGTCACTACAGTACTTCAAAAGAGCATCCGGTGTCTCTCCCTCCTCCTCCTCCACATCCAAAACGTGCAATGAAGTAAGCAAGCACTGTGCAGCCTGAACAGAGTGGCTACAGTTTATGCTATACTGCCTCATCTGTTCTTTGCTCCAGCTGTTCCTGGAAGGAGGTGCCACTGAATTGTTTCTCTCTTCCTCTGATGCTCTGGGAGAAAGACAGAGGGCATTTTTTTTTTTTAAATCTTGGCTTTTTAGCAAAGGAAACAGGGCTGGATTGTTGTGTACTGGCACTTGCTACCTTCTCATCCCATGCCCTTCTTGCTGTGTAAGACATGATGTGCTGGAATAATATTTAGTTTTGCAGCTGGCCTCATTACGGATATAATTTAGAAGGTATAAGCAGTCATCAGCATTTCAAAATATATTCAATTTTCAATAAAGAGGAAATTTCCACAAGGCAATGACCATAAATGAATGACAGTATACTCAAGAGCAATGAGCAAATCTGTCAGTCTGTCAAGAATTTGCCTGATGTGTCATCACAATTTAATTAAGGGAAAAAATTACTGCAAGAGACAGCAGACCAAGTCAACCCTCTAAAAAGGTACTTCCTTCCTTTGTGCATTAAAAGTTATCTCCCTTTGATTTGAATTACTGATGCACAAGCAGCTTGTGATAAATCTTTCTCCAGAACTAAATAGATGGCTGAAAAGTATGAGCCAAATTCACTTTTTATACATTGGATAAATTTGACTCTAGATGGTTTTTGGGTCTTTCAAACCCACCTCAGCGTATCACCTGATTATTTTCCACAAATTTTGTGCCTTGCAATCACTGAGTCAACCCCAGCTACATGGACTTTCTCAGCTCTCTGGCATGTGGCCATGGTAGACACACTTCACTGCCCTGCCCCAGGGGCCCTGAGCTGCTGCCCACCAGCACTGCCTTTTCCCAGCCTTGTGCTGCACCTCTGAAGGCATCCAGCTGGTTGTCAGGCAACATCCTCCAGCCAAATCCAGTTTCTTCCACTTCTATAGTTTCAGTGGAAGACTGAAAAGCTTCCTCAGTCTTTGGAGAACTACTTCATTCTGAAGAAACTTTTCTATCAGAGGTATAGTGTCTCAGCATGTCAAGGGATGCAAGGCAGCTGGATGGACATTGTACCAGCTATGAACCTGTACAGTATTATGACCAAGATAATCTGTTTTCACTGACTGAATGATCTGACCAATGGCTAAAAGTACAATAAAAAGGTATTCTGTTTAAATCCAAATGTTTCTTTATAGTTCTGGAAATATGGATACTGTAGCACCATGTTTGCATGGGAGAATGAGAAAGCTAAGATGACTTATAAAATTGAAGTTATGCTGTCTAGAGTATTTGTTTTGTCCAGGATGAGTGAAGTCAGAAGAAACAATAAAAACAGTGCATTTTTCAAGAACATCGATTTCAGAAGGGTAGTTTTCTCCAGCTTAATAATCACAGATACCACAACACATATAAATAAACTGGGGACTGAAAGCAGTAGTTTTAACCTGGTCATGTTCCAGAAGGCAAACACACCTAAGTGCATTTATCTCTTCTCAGAGCAGATATGTAAAAGCATTATCCTCCATCATGCTGTTGTCTGTTATCAGGTCCACATGCAGGCCCAGAAAGACTATGCAGTACACGTATAAATATACATACCCGACTTGGGTACAGTCTCGATATGGCAGCACTGAAAATATGCTACAGAAGGATCTTCTGCTGCTGATAAGGACTATTCTAAAATATAAAAGAAAATAAAAGAAATCAAAGACTAAAATTTAAAAATCCCACCACAATAAGCAAAGCAACAGATGTTACCACTGAGGAATTCGTAATCATAAAACTTCCATAATGGATGACTCCTCCCTCCTCTTTTTTATCTCACAGGTGTTGTGCTATGGAGTCTTTACAGAAGTGCTGAAGCCTGTGCCATAGCAAATAAGCTGTAAATGAGCAGTGGAGTCCCATCCCCTCTGTAGGCTTTCTAGGAAAACTATCTTGAATATATTACTTGGAATCCAGGATAGATGCTTTTCTAGTGAAAGGAGAGGCATGGGACCGTTCTGACAACTCACTACGATGGCTGAAACTAAACAGACAAATCCAACAGCACCCCACATAATACACACCAACAACTACTGGTGATGCACACCACAATTCTGTGGCTGACTTGGAGTCTGCATTTGTTGGACAAAGAATTTCTGGCTGCTGGTTGTGACCTTTCTCTGCTAAACCAAAGGACTCCCTTGATTTTCAGCTTCTTGTTCCTGAAATAGACTTCATCCACGGATCAGGCTAAGTCTGCTATTGTCATAAGCTTTCAGATCCTTTTACTGTTTTCAAGGCTCCTCCTTGAGTCTTCTGTTTTTCCCCATCACCTTCTCCTGGTCTCTGGGAATTACCACTGACCTCAGCAGTTGAACATCTTCCAGTCTTACCTTTAAGATTAGTGTCTAGCCCTGATGACCTGCCAGCCTCTGTGCTCAATAGTTACATTAGCCTTCTTGGTTATGATGTTGCATTGATACTCAGGCATGTCTGATCCCACAGTTCCCTGCCATTTCTCCTGCAGCCCAATGTCTGTCTCAGTCACTGTCAGGGCTGAATTACTCCTACTGTAAACATGGCTTGCCTTTATTCCTCAGGAATTCCTTAGGCAGTTAGCTCAAGATTTGGTTACATGAAAGCATATATTATTTGCCTGCAGAGAGCTTATCTCAGAATCCAGGACACTCTTAGAGCAAATGTCTTGTATTTTTAACCAGTCTCCAAATCTCTGCAACATCTGCAAAATCACTGTGTGATACTGTCCTGGTTTCAGCTTTGATAGAGTTAATTTTCATTAAATCAAATAGCTTGGAGCAACCTATCTGTTACACAGTCACACTGCTGCCTTTAGGCATCAAGCTCTGACATATCATTAAGCAACATCAAAACCACCTTGAGGTGAAGACCCACTTTCCACAAAATAGCATGGACTGTCAGTAGTTACATTACTATAGTTTTGGAAGATGCAGATTGGTAAGAAGCCAAGAAAAGCTTGATCAAGATGTAAGATATAAAATGCCAATAAATAACTGATTGTTTATAAATATACCCTCTTTTCTCATTACCTTCAGGATGCTGAGCATTGTACAATTGTACTGACTCCTCTTCCCTCCAAAGTTGGCCAACATGCTGCACCACGTCACATTCCTCTAAGTGATGACAATCTGTGCTATTTTCTGATCTGATTAGTGTTAGAATTTACTGCAGTTTTACCTTTCTAAAATTCTCCACTTGTGGTGACAATGCTAGAACCTACTGCTACGTTGGTTGTCAGGGCTATTGCACTTCCTCGCTTGGCTCTCCAACATTGATTTTTCTGACCTTCTCTCCCACAGATCTGTATGTGAGGATTTCACCTGAATTTTTCGTCCTTTGTCCTGCACTGGCCAAAGCTGGAAAACAAACCCTAGGAAGATATTTTGTTCTTTACTATCCGAAAACCAGCATAAGTACCTATAAATCCCATACCAGTTAGGCTGTTATTAAAACACTGTTTCCTTAAGGGACCAGCTTAGTCATCGTTCTTGGAAAAGGTTTAGCTCCCCAAGAGAGCCACTGCACATAATGCTTGGAAAAATGCAGAATGATTGATTTTCCTTCTCCTGGGTCATTCTGTTATAGTAATCCTATTTTCTTCCTCAGAGGCATGTTTAAAAGCAAAGGGGTATTTACCCTATAATAAAGGAGGGTTTCTAATAATAAACATGCACAAACCTTCAGGAAGCTCTCCTGCAGCAGATGAAGTATGATTTCATTATTGTCTGAATGCTGTAACACTGCTTACCTATGGTAAATCTCAGATCCTGTAAGATGGTCTCATGGTGCAGCAGTAAGTTACAAAGCAGGAGGGAATAATTTTTCACATTTGAGAACGGCAATCCACAAGCAAAAAAGCCCTGGCATATGATTAATTTTGTGCTTGCCACTGCTTATTGCTGAATGGTTGCTACTCACAACAGCTTGCTTGTTCACTGGAAGCCTTGTTTGCTGATGTATGAAACTTGGCACAGATTTCGAGGCTGACATCAGAAAGCATCTTTGAATTCGGAAAACCACAGTACCCGCTAAGCATATTACCCCCCTCCCTCTGGTTGCTTCTGGAAATACAGCTCTTCCACCAACGCCCTACACCTCCCTAAAAATACCACTCAACTCTTAATACTTAAAGAAAAACAAACTGGTGCTTCCACGTCCACAAGCAAAGACAACAGTAGGAAGTTACCACAGAACTGTGTGTATCAGAAGGAATCAGACAAGAAAGGAAATAAAGAGCACCAGCCCAGCCTGTATTTTTTTCAGATTTTTTTTCCCTTGGGACCCAAGGATTGCCTCTCTTTCCGTAAACCGGCGGGCCCTCTTTACACAAAGATCTCCCACACAGAGTGTGAGAGGAGCCCACGGCCTCCACTGCCAGGATGCCACGAAACCTCATCTGCAGAGCTGCTGGAGGAGGTTGATGCAAAACAGCCTTAGGAGCTGGACTGGAAGGGAAGCAGGGAAGGCAGTGGTCAGATGCTCATCATGGAGGGATAAACACCAGCATTTTATGTAGAGGTCAGACAACATGCATGGAAGTAAAAAAAATTCTGAAGGCCTGCAAAGGTTTGCTGAGCAGGAAGTCCAGAAACTTGTCACAAAGTATGCTTTGGAATAGAAGATGAGGTGGAAGCCATTGCTGTTCAAGAACACGGAATTATTGCTTACAGGAGAAGAGCATTTTCCTGTATTTCAACTCTTCAACAAACCTACGATCCTGTGCAGCTCTGAATGAGCTATCTCTGACATCAAAAGCTGTCTGAGAGTGGGTTTATGTGCCCTGATTCCAATTGTGCCACCTAGACATGTTTAGAATCACTTCAAGAAAAGCTTTTCACTCTCTAATTCTCACATTTCATTGAAATGTTGTACTAACTACTATGGTTCAGAGTAACCATTATTTTGCAAGAGAGTTCTGACAATGTGCAAAGGTCTAAGACTGTAAAAGCTAATTTTCCAATTTCTTTATGAGGTGTATGCTATGCAAAACTTACTGACCACAAAGTTCTCAACAGAATCAGTAATTTGCTTGATTTGAAGAATAATGTCTGTTTTCTTCAGTGTCTGTCTAGTTTTCATGGTGTTGCACCAAAAGGCTGTGATCAGGCTATGTGATATATGTCATATACACCATTCACATGTGAAATACTGTAGTCTCTTTTCTCATTCCTCTTTGGTTGATATTTGACTGCCAGGGCCCTGCTGCCCAGCACGCAAAGGTAAACAAACAAATCATGGATGCTGTCTGGGTAGCAGCTCTCATTTTGAAGTCTCACAAATTCAAGGGCTGTTAGAAGGTGGCTGAGGGGAATTATGAACTGTGAGGATGCTACAAATAGTCAGCCTCTTGGACTGCATGTGTGAGCATATCCACAACTTAAAGGGCAGCAAAACAGACCTGTCATGATGGTGCTTGGCCTTCATTTACATGTGTACACTAACAAAAAACCCGAGAAAGCAATGGCATGGGGGTGGGAGAGGAACATTGTTTTACTGCTTTTTATATTTGCTCTATACGATAACTGTAGAAATGTTCTTGTCCTGTTTTCACCATTAACTGTTTGTTCAGCTGGCTCAGGTTGCTGTTTAGGTGGCTTGTTTTTGCTACTCTTCTGCTTCAGAGTTTATGAGGGATATCACCAATAAACCTGCTGAGTGAAGTGGGTAAAACCACATGCTGGTGACTACCTGCACTAGTTTGTATGCTATGGTTGACTTATCTTTGTCTTTGTATGGGAAAGTTTATTTTGTGCTATTTTACAAGACTGCTTTGATAATACAGCCTAGGAAACCTAATTTTCTACCTCCTTTAATAAGCCACGTCCTACAAATCCAAAGAAACTGGTTTAACCAGGGCACGGAGCTATCAACAGGAAGCTTTACAAGGACTAGCTGATAAGCTCTGGCCTGAGTATAGGTGTTTTTTCTCTGTGCTAAATAGCTGAACTCTTATTTCAACCACAGTTAATCCTGCCTTGCTGCTGGACTGACAAAGGCTGGACCCAGAGCATCGTCACTCCACATGTGTCATCCACAAGGCTGAGAGGTGAAGAGCTCTCAGTGCCGCAGGAAAAGGACACATCACTTTACAGGTTGAGAGCCGCAAGTAAGGGCAGTTAATAGAGAGAGGAGCCCTGAGCCATCACCCACACCGCAGTTTTCTTTGCTGTGACACTCACAGGCCAGTGAAACAATTACGTGCTAGCTGTTTTAAAGCCCAGTCACCAAATTCACTGCCCAAAAATATATTCAGTGTAGATGTCTTCAGAGCTGGGTCCCTCAAGTTAAGTGAAAGGCTGTGAGAGAAGGGTCGGTCAGGGATTTTGCAGAGAGCTCAGAGAGCCTGACTCCAGCCTAGCTCAGCACCTGTGTCCTGCACAACCATGCATGAGCCCTCTTGAGACAAGGTTTCAGGCATGGAAAGGAGCCTCAGGAGGGTTTTCTATCCATTGCAATACTTGTGCTTCTCTGTGTCACAGGAAACTGGGGAGGACACCAGATTTAAAGGTCTTAAGGTACTCAGAAACACTGTTGATTTTATGATGAAGACATAAAGCAGATCCACCTAAATTTCTAGAGGTCCTCTTCATCCAGAATGCCTATTAACTTCAGTGACTGCAACTGCATTCAGACCACTTAGAAAAACAGAGTCTGGGATCAGCTTACTTACTGCTAGACATAGGAGTGACACAAAGTGTTAACTTCATATTTTATTTTTAGCTAATATCATTGTGGCTCTACAACTGAAGGACAGAAGCTATTTCCAAAACTGTGTCTTATTGTATCTGTATTCTACATAAAGAGATCTTTATTATGATTGTGGAAATATTCTGGAAAACTGTGTCTGCTGATAAAGATAAGAAGCCAGTTGAATAACAGAAGCTTCCTCACTGTTTTCTTAATAAGAAAAATACTCAGTTATATTGTCAGGCATAATGACTGATCTGTGAATTAAGATGAAATGTTGCATATATGCTACAAATACTTCTTACAAAACACGGAGAAAAGAGTTGACAAATCAAATATTTATTCAATCTTTTGCAGGTAGCATTTCTATCAAGTTTATGCATAGATTTTATATACACAAGTCAGAAATTACTCATTCTCTGTGGAATTTGTATAATCCCTTATAAGTATTTTTTGCTGTAAGAAATTCCAAGAGCATACATCTACTTATGCACAAAATGGACTAAAATTAGAGGTCTGCTTTTCAGCATTTGATTCCACATGCATTTGTTCTAAAGACAATAATCAGCTGCTAGTCAGACAACAGTCAAGTCAATAGTTCTGCGTGTGTCTGTTTGATACAAAAGCCGTTTCTAAAACCTCTCAGGGCCACCTTCTGCAACATTTATGTTGATTACTACCTTGCACTGCATTTAACTATATGCGTGAGAATAAAAGTGAAGAAAACTGTTCTTGAGCCAAGTAACACCTACCAGAATTCAATTCATAAAACCTGTGATTCAATGCAGTGTCAGGATTTCTACTGACATGGTGCCATGTTTGATGGAAGTCAAAGGCTACAGGCACAGACCAGTCCACCAGAACATACACAGTTCACAGCCATGGTAGTTTCATGAGAACAGGAACATGCAAGAGTCAACTTTCTGAAGGCCAGTTTAGTCTACATGCAATCTCTTCAGGTGGCCTAGCTCAAACCTATTCAGGTTTGGAAGAACAAGAATTAAAAAAAAAATCACGCGGCACATGGAGAAACTGTCTTTGGAAAATCAGAGAGGGCAGGTATCTCCTTTACAAGCAGGGAGGAGCTAGTTTCACTTCTGAGCTGGATGATACTGCAATAAAGAATCCGTGTTGCTGATGGGAACACCATGCCTTTGCAGTAAGTGAAGTCACAGCCAATCCCTGCGGTACAGGTCCCACTGGTGCCTGTGGCTGGAACCTGGGCAGTCCATGTCCCAGCTTGGGGTGTGCTGCAGCCACAGCTGCACCCCTCACACATTATCTGGAAGCCTCTCTGCCTACACTGGCCATGAAAACAAGGATCCCACGCCTCACCTTGCCATGACCATCCCTGGCTGTGCATTTACCAACCAGTACTCTGTATCCACTAATAGATGCAGTTGAAGTAGCATTGAACCATTGTTAAATCTGGTCTAGGCTGGTTCATCTGTGTGCCAACTCTCACACTTAGAATGTGACAACACCCTCGAAGAAATGCAACCAGATTATGCCTGGTTTACTCCAAGAGCACCACCGATTTTCCTTTTATGCAGGTTATTTGCATTAAGGAGACACAGGTCTTAAGATCTACAGGCTATAGCACTTCCACTGACATGCAGTTCCCTCGAGGAAGGAGTGTGCACTGCAGCCTGCTCCTTCACAGGCTGTGTTGGAGGCCATCAGTATGTATGTGGTGAGTGGCAATGGCACGCTGTGCTCTTGCACAGGGATGCTGATCCCGCCCCTTCCCTCATGCCCCATGGATTGCCTTGCAGAAGCAGCCTTTGCACACACAGTACCTGCCGTTTCTGGTATCGTGTTGCCGCATGTTCTTGATAAAATGAACCTTCTTAAAGTTCTTTGGTCTGGGTGATCCTGAGAGTGTCCGACATCTGAAAAATAAATCAGTTGCGGGGGGTGGGGATGGGGAGAGAAAGAAAAAATACAAGTACTCAGTTCCCTGCTGTACAGCCAAGAAGTCTGCACAAAAGCAGGAAGGAAAGACGAGACAAATGATTCAAGTCACCCTGTGTTAGGAATCAGCAAGAACAATAAAGACAATAAGTCTGGAAACATGACAGCTCAAACAAAAAAAAATATTTAAAATAATAATAAGAAAAGCCACTGTCCCCCTCCCTTCATGCAAAAAAAAAAAATCATAAAAAAATCTCAGCAAAATAAAACTTCCTGTAATCTGCTGTGACAGCTTAGCCCAAGCTTTCAGAGGGAAAAAAATTAAACTAAACCAAAACCTGGTAAATACGCAATTTTTCCACTTGCATCAACACCCACACTTTTGTAACCTCCTCAGCTATTGATATAGGAGACATTAAGGAAAGATCTTTCTTGTTTTAATTTTAGAAAGGTTTAAAATCTCCCATTGTCAAGAAAAATTCCTACTTGCTTTTAACTCTAACTATTACTTTTCATGTCCCTGATAGTATGCAAAACAACTGAAAATAAATTATCTCGGGGAAAAAAAATAATTACGCTTCAAAACATTAAGCCTTAAATCTATTTTACATCTGAATGCACTTTATAAATTGCACTTACAGAAAGAAATTGCCAGAGGGAGGAGAGATGAGAGAAGCAGCAATATCCTTCCCTCCCTCCCCCCTTGCCTCTTTCTAATCAGCTGAAACCACAGCGCATGTGAAAGCTTTCTCTGTTTCATCTCGGCGTAGTTTTGTTGCAAGGCACGGCACAACGCGCAGGCACTGCAGATAATGCAACTCCCGTGCTCCCTGCACAGCCAGGGCTGCTGGACCGAGGCTGCTGTGTCCTCCACGGGAGCTCAGGGACAAGCATCCTTTGCCGGCACTCGGGACGAGTACAGTCCCTCCACGTTAAGCTTCCCTAAACTATTTTTCCATCCTCTCCTCTGCACAGGCAGAGTTCAGCAGCTTCTCAAGCCCAAAAGGTCCTTTTGTTGGACTGAAACTACAGACCACTGGTCCCAAGCCACCAGGGACTGCCAGTCCTTGTTGCTGTACCCAAACACCACCATGCTGTATGGGCATACCCCAAGAGGGAGGACCCCATCGCTCTGGCTTTTCTGCTTTCCTCCTGTTAGTAAAATCCTTGAGATTCCCTCATCCTCTGGTTGCAATTAGTCTTGTTAGCTTCTTCACAGGAAAATACCAGCAAGAGAGACATCCTACCACCAATTCTGCAAATTAGCAAGTAAAAATACTGCCTGGCAAACCGTACTTTGTTTATATCTTTTGCCAATTATACATGTTTGAATTACTTACGAGAACGCTTCATAACATGCTGGTAAGCATGCAACAGTAAGCTTTGTAAAAATAATCAAGCCTTGGTAGTAGGCCAATTGGTACAGCCTCTGCTATTAAGTCTTTGCTTCGAGGTAGGGAAAGACAGCCAATCTGCATGTGGATAAACAAGACTATAGGCTAAACACCAATTTAAAGCAGCTGAATTACAGGTCCTAAGATAAAGAGACAGTCAAACTTAGGCTGCTGTCTTGCTGAACAGCTGACCTGGAAGCATTCCGTGCATTGGTCAGATTACTGACCAGCCAGTTTCTGAACTGTTAAGCAGTTGCTCCATTTTCCATTACCCTAGAGGATTGCCTAGTGACTAATTACTGTGGTCCCCAGAGAAGTAAGCTGTGGTCTCCCAGATGCAGAAACAAAACCGCACTGAAGCTGCTGATACAATAAGGATGAGGGCAGATTTATTAGGGGGGTAGCAGTCACAAACCTACCAGCCAACATGCAGACAGTAATGCTGGTAACCAAAACAAGATTGTATGTGCTGAGAGAACAAACAATAAAAATCCATAAAAAATAAAAATACTAAAAATATCAGCCTTCAAAAACCTCCCTATAATTAACCATCTGTACTTACTTTTTAAAAGTACCACATATGTTAGGGACTAGCCATTCATATTGGTGACAACTACACTTTTCTATTCATCAAATCTGACATTTTAATTCCTGACATTTCACCTAAATACTGACTTTTTGTTAATGACCTAAAGCCAGGGAATGTGTAATTCATATCATCTACAACCTTGCAGGGCTTGATAGGTTTCAACACTTTTACTCACTACGAAGAACACCTTAACGTGAAGACCCAGCCACTTTTCAACAGGGGGAGGGGACAGCAAGTCTGTCCATGCATGTGCTTTACAGACAAGAAGCCAGAGAGAGAGAGTAAATAAAATGACCTCCTCAGTGGGGCATTTTCCTCGATGTCCTCCAGAGTCTCCAGAGAAGATCGCTGGGAGATCAGCCGACGTCTGCAGAGGAAACAGAACATAAAACATCACCTCTGATTAGAGGGCACGAGAAAGTCCTCAGAGAGTCTCAGAGAGATTAAGCAAAGATAACAAACCAGCCTTCACTAGCCAAGCCATACCTCTGGATATTAATACATTTTGTTCCCTTATGCTTATCTTAATCTATTTGATTCTAACCAGAAGCAAATGTACTCCATACAAGCTTCTACAGCGAGATAGAAGTTGAAACTTCGCAACAGCTCCTCCTCAGCTCCTTCTCCCTTCTGTCAAGGGTTTAACACCCATCTAACACCATTCCCACATGTGCTGTGGTATAGCTTGCAATGCTACAAATACAGTGCTTTGATAAAATAATGCAGATGTAGATCTACAGAGACTGCCTGTCATTCACACTGCCACACTTCTCTTTGCCCCTCGCCCATTTTACCAGATAAATGCCACTTGTTTCTCAGTGATGTTAAGCTCATCACTCCTGTGAGGAGTCCCGCAGAGAGATGGAAGATTACAGTGCTGGTAGCACTGAGTACAAACCAGCAGTTTAGAAAGAAACTCTGGCCATCCCTGTGAGCAGCACAGGTGAGTTTAGTTCTGTTTTAAACCATTTTCCTATGGCTGAGTCAGATCCTTCCTCCACCTTCAGTGAAATGAAGTATGGAAATCTTAGCATTACAAGTTTTCCAACTAGTAGGCAGGGAAGAAGCCCCAGTACAGGCTTGGTTTTAGTAGGAATTGCTGCTCCACAACCTTTAAACACCCTGACAGCAGCACAAAACAAGGAACTGCACCCAGCCCTCCAAACGACACTGTAAATACCAAAAATGAATGTGTAAGATACAGCCCACCTGCAGACGCCTGAAGAAAAATTAAGCTGGCAATCACGAAAACTACTCCGCCGTCGATGGGTGTTAAACAGCTGCAACAGCCAGCAGTGCCAGGGCACCGTGCCCCAGCACCTGGCTGGCAGGAGGAATGCCAGCACCCATCGCTCCCTGGGGCCACTGCTGAGGCATACAGCACCTCAATAGTGATTTAATGAGTATGAACTTAAACGAGAAAAGTATTCGTAGACTACCATTATTTTTTGCCCAATTCCCACTGAGCTGCCTTACTCCCTTGATCTGCAAGCAAAGAGGTTTCCAGAGCGTTATGAGCACTCCTATGCTTGGAAGTATGCTCATTAATTTATTCCTGGGCTGTATTTTCACAATAATTTGTTTTCTCTGATGCCAGTGTAAGCAGTTTCTAATCCTTCTTGCAATTCCCTTGCCCCTTCAGCTGCGCTGCTACAACTGTTCCTGCAGCCGTGCTGCAAATCTGATTACCAAAATGTTTTTCAGTTCAAAATATCTTACTGAGGTTCAGTGATTCAGTTTGCTATTAATTCAAACACTAGATCTCTATCACTAACCCCCAGACAACAGATTTCAGGACAATTTGAATATGTATGTGGCTTTTTGTGTACTTGGAAAATCATAAAAAAAAAAATCTCAAACAATTTATAGATCAACTAAGTGTGAAGCTTAATCCTCTTAGGAAAATATGCAAACCTAAATCCCCTCAGGCTTTGTCTAAACTAGGATTTTAGAAGATCTGGTGCAAGATAGGATACACCTTCAAAATGCTAAGAAAAAATAAAATCTGCATTTCAGAATGTGCTGGTATAGACAAGCAAGAAGAGACCAAACATTTGTCTCCTGCACCTATGGGTGCTCCCTTGGCTCCATCCACAGTCAGAGAAGATACAGGAATGCTCTTATAGGGAGCGATTCAGAGCAGGAGTAGCTCCCGCTCCATTTTCAGTTTCATTGATCCGTAAGCAAAAGTTGGAAGTTTCAGCTACCAGCACTACTGATGCAGCAGATGACAGCTGACAGCTTTTTAATACCTCTTTATACGTCATTACGCTTAATAACACACTTAAATAATGGCACCCTCCCATCTTGTGGTGTTACAGTGCCAAAAGCGTACTTGGCATGTTGATAGTCAAAGAGAGATAAACAACAGTACAACCTTGCCACCTTCTTCCTATTAAATTTATCAAATTAGTCACACTGTATTTCCTCTAGATGCCTGTGAGATGCCAGGCGCTTGTACAACACCAGATGCATATTCCAGCCGCCACTACAGCCCTCTTCCAAGCCTCTCCTCGTCCAAAGTTATGCCCCATCCTCAATTTCATTGACAATGACTTGGCAGACACGGGTTTGAAGACCCTACACTGGCATCTGTTGTTAAGACAGACGTGCTGGTTGGCAGAAACACATAACTGTATTTCATCAGCTGGTCATCCAGTTGCCTGCTGACTCTTAAGATTCCTCTGGCTTCCTTTGCTGGTCTTAACTTCTCAAATCCAGCACCAGTGATGCTGCCTCATGATTTTCTTGCTAACCTCAAATGCAACACAGGCTGGAAGGAAATCGCTGCCACCCCTCTTAGCATGAAAGACCTCACGCTGATTTTCACTGGTGGTGATTTTGCAGTATTTTGGGTATCTAACATGGCAAGTGAGTCTGCACAAAGGATGGTAGGGGGGACGTTCTTTGTTCATCCCAAGCTTGGGAGAGGAGCACTGATACTTGAGCTCCCTCTCAATTAGTGCATAACATAAACATAACTCTGAATAAATTCATCCAGGAAGGAAGGAAGCAAGCAAGCAGATAATCCCCCACAAATCAGTGAAGAAGAATGGGTCACACAGAAGCCTGCAGTGATATAAATGGGGACTACTGCAGCCAATCCTCTCTCTGGACTGGCATAGGTAGCAGTGAGACCAAGGATATCCAGCCCAGCACCCAACACAGCTAAAAACTGCCACATCTTTCACCTCACTCCAGAATTATTAGTTTTAATCAGTTCAACTCCCTGCACCGCCAAAGAAGCACCAAAGAGGCGGATTTGAAGAAACTCTGTTGAAATCAGTTCATACTGTCTGGGAATCACTCCCTCTTTTCACTGAAGAAGCTCAGCCGCAGTGAAGTATTTGCAATTATTCCAGTTTATCTTAAATCTTTATTTCAAGGCCTAATTAAGATGACCTAAATACCAATATTTTATAAGCTTTCCACAGCTGGATATTATACCAGAAATGCCAACTAATGAAGCTACCTGCTGTGAACCAAGTCGCATCCTGTGCCACACACAGGGGGGGAAAAAAAAAAGTTTGGAAAGCTTTGGAAAGCAAAGCTTTTGAAAGGGTCTTCCAGGGAATACAAGGAAAATAATTTTTTCATTGACTTCATTAAGAATTAATCACCTCAACTGGTGTTTAATGTTTAAATTAATCATCTTTCTTTCTTCAGGCAAGCACCCAGGGTTTGTCTATACAACTTCTAAAAGAGTTACTTCTCAAAAATTGATTAACATGCCATAGCAGCTGGTATATGTAGACACTTGCACTGAAATAACCCAAACTATTTTATATTACAAATCAACATCATTCTAATGTAAAGCTACGTTAACACCTATTTTATATTGAAAAATTTCCTATTTCAATAATAACTAGGGAAAATCCTCCTATTGTTGAGGAAGAGTATGTGCAGAAGTATTCAAAATAGCACTGTGTGACTCATGCAGGATTCAGGCTTTGGGTTAAGCCTTTTAGCAGATGCAATTTCAATATAAAATGCTTTAAAACTTGTGTGAGTGTCAGCCAGTTAGCACACTAAAATACAATTGCTCTTAACAACCGAATTAAAGATGTTTCAATAAAAATATTTATTTTTCCTAGTTCACAGAAAGCCTTAAAAAATTTCTTCTAGTTTGATCACCACATTCCAGGCATACCAAACTCACCCCTCTCTCCTGTAGGACAATGATGGTCCCAATGAAGATCACAGACTTTTTTTTTTGTTTAAAAACCATGTAATATCACTTTCCCTTAAAAACCTATCTAAAATATTTTTTGTCTGTTTCCTTGCTGTTGTTGCCTGTGCATGAGCCCAGAAATAACCACTTCCTTACCATCAAATTCCAAGTCCAGTCCAAAGAAAGAAACTGAAGAGATATTTGATGCCCTGGTATTTTAAATGGCACACTCTGTGAGTGCTGACCTTGCGCTTTTGTGTCAAAGACCCCAGAGAATCGGGGCCTGTTTCTTAGTTACCTTTTAATTAAGATATTCATGACCCTGTTTGCATACTGGATTTATCTTTGACCAGCTGTCTGAATCCCTGTGGAAGTTTCTTAAAAGCTAAAGTGTGGTCTTCGTTTCCCTTCACCAAAGTCAGATTAATATGTGGCTCAGTTGCAAAACTGAAATAAAATAAAAGGGCAAAAAAAAAGAAAATAATTACAAGGATAAATAAAAATCAAGCAGGTCTGCAACCAAAAGAGCAAACAGTCAAAGCAAGTAAACTGCAAAAATATTCACTGCAACCACCCCATCAATCAGTGGAAAATTATCTTCACTGTCAATTGCTGCAAAATACTCAGCTCAATTATGTTAAACACACAAAATCTCAAGCCACATAGACAGGAGGTGATAAAAAAAAAAGGAGCTGCAATCAGAACACTGGATAAATTCATCCAGGAAGGAAGGAAGCCAATGATAATACAAGAGATAAAGAAAAATAAATCCATATGTAATGACTTTCTAGCACAGCCACAAAATCAGGAAGAAAAAGCAGCATTTTAAATACATCTTAAGTTGAGGATGTGTTTTCTCTCCTGCTTCTACGAAGATTACAAACCTACAACAGCTGAATCCAGTAGTGTGGGTGCTGCTGGCTCCCAGAACAAATACGTCCCTTCAGGCCAAGCTTCTTCACTTTGTCTGGGACAAATGCATCCCTTCAGAGACGCAGTAACGATGGGACACATCATCAGAACACTTGCTGGCTGCGTTAACACTGATGGGAGAACCTGGGAGGACAAAACAGCTGAAGACTGTTGGCAGTCTGTTCACATATCCACTAGGTCACATCCTCCCTTCCGGTGGCCAGGGAAAATGAACAAGAACCACATACTACCCTAAATGGGTACACAAGGGGAGTGCAAAGGAA